TATCAACCATACAGAATTGTTTTTCTACACTTATCTTTTGTTTCTTCCAGAGACACACAAAGCCAAAACCTTATCTTGTAGCTCTTTTAATTGGACATATTAGGCAGTAATCAGCTGCCCAGCAGTCACTGCTGTTTGTCCCATGAACATCTCTCATACCCAGGTTACTCCCTTTGAGGATTATTTGCAGGGTTTCTGACAAAAATGCTGTAGTTAAGGAACCCTGTTATTACAAGAATAAAAATATGCATGTATCTACAACTTTCGCAGAAATATTTTTATTAAATATTAGTCTATCTCCATATGATTATTATTTTCATGAAATAAAATCCAGGACCACCCAGCTTTTTTTCTCTTTAACATTGGTTTGAGTATGTGTATACAGCAGTTCCTGGGCCTCTTTCCAAATCATATAAACTTTTTCCTTAAAAGATCTGAAAATGGCATAATTTAAGATCACAAGGTATTTCCCCCATTAAAATGTTCCCAAGATTAGATCACAGTCTGGCAAAATAAACAGAATCTGATTTGTTGGCTCTTTTCATGAGGAATTCATTGCAGGCAGATTTCAGAGGGGGACTTGGTTCACTGGCGAGAGTGACTGACTTCAAGCACGGTTCTGAGACTGCACTCAATGTCAGCAGAGATTTGGTGGATTTGAACTGAATTTAATGGAGTTTCATGCTCTCCTGTTAATGTGAGAAGATAAAATAAGGCAGAAAGCTTTGTGGATGAGATACTTATGACATCCCCATTGCTCCTGCCTCTTGGAATCCATGCCCATGCAGTTACTCCTGGTTTGCCCCTGAGGAAGCACTGCCCCTACTCTTACCTTGCACCACAGATTTCATCATAAGAGCTGTGAATGTGCATGCACTAAAGTGAGTCAGTTTTTTATATGCTTCTATGTCAAGGTTCAGTGGCTTAGATATAGTTATGTAACAGTGCCAATGAAACATGTTACTATTAACTAAATGATAGTAATCTTTATTTTGTGACAGTTGATATAACTATTAACTATCCACTCACAGAAATATTCAGAAAAGCTGTAACACAAGAGCCAGTGTCTAAACAGACACATGGTAAGTATAGGGTGGGAAATTCTGATCTCAGTAGGCATGTAGTAACAATTTCTTTTGGGGACATAAAGTGCTGTCTAGGATAAAACACGTAGAAATTTAGAGTCTATGACTGCCATCTCTCATACCTGAAGAGATAGTCTGGCAATGCAGATAACTAGAATTTGGTGCAATGTGTTCCTTCCATGAATGCATACAGCTCACCACCAGTGCATCCCAAAACAATGGCCTGTTCCCTAAATAGCAAACAATCCCAGTTAGCAAAGAGAAGCACTCAGGTCCCGAAAGCTACACCTTTATCATGAAGATTTAAGCCGTGGCTTAAGTCCACATAATTTATTCCTCCTGTGGTAAGAAAATAGCTTTAATTCAAATGTGAGTTGTGGTCACTTAAAAGAGGACTGTGCTTGCACAACAACAAAACAAAATAACAGCATTTACTTTTTTGAAAGTGGAACCCAGCTGACCTCAGTTTGCTGCTTTTCTATTTTCTAATGTCTTTACATTTGTGTCTGTGAATAAAGTAACAAAGTATGTGACACAAAATGTCAGCCTGAAGTATGACAATAAAATGAAAGCTGAAAATAAAATGAGATGGCAAACCATCTAGAGGGAGAGAACAAGATCATGTCAAGACTTCGGGGACAAAAGAGAGTTCTGTCTATGTTTGCTTTCATTTACTCTAATGAAGTCTCAAGCACAATGAAGGGAACTGCTCTTGGGGAGCCCTGCAACAGCTGTGAAAATTGTAGAGGCACTGGGAAGAGTTTCAAGGTAAGATATGCAGAAAGAGCGGAAAATGCGAGCATGCTGCAGCAGCAGGCATGCCAGTATAGACAGGTGTGATTACAGAAGAGCCACTTCATCATCAGTACAATATTCTTGGCTTTATCTATAAAGACAAGCAGCTTGTACAAAGCAAGACCTAGCTTTCTGAGTAAGGTTCTTTTTAAAAATTCTTGCCTTCCAGGACAGAGAAACAACCTTCTCCTATTGTAAAGATATCTTCCTCCTTTTCATTTGGATTTCTCCATTCAACTTCTCAGTCTCTTCAAAACAGCATAACAGATCTGCTGAAGCTGGCAACATACCAAAAGGTAACATAATATAATATATAGTATGTAATATATAACATATAATATATAGTATATAACATATAGTGTATAATATATCGCATATAGTATGCATACTATATATAAATATATATACATACAATATGCAAAACCTATGTATATTGTATATAGTATACAATTCATATATTGCATGTATTGTGAGGATTTGTTTATATTTTGAAGTGAAAGTGCAAAAAGCATGTTGCACAGAAAAAGAGGATGTTTTCTATTCTGCTGATGAAAAAGAGGACGTTTTCTTGGCATGCTGTATGGATTATTTATTTCTAATATGATACATTCAATTTTGGTCCTTAAAAGTAACATCTTCCTTCCCCACCCACCTTCCCCAGCCCAGCAGGTCTTTTTGAATTACATAAATACCTTGTTTCCAAAAATACTTTCCTTTGGTGAGCTCTGAGCCTTATCTAAGGTGCACTGAAGAAGAATGGAGAAAATGCACTCATCATGGATATTGATGGGAAGCCAGCAGCTGACTTATGAAGTCACTGAATAGCAGTGACTGAAGTGGCATGTCTAGATACCTGGGTTTTTTCTCTAGCTTTTAAAAAATGATTTTACCTATCATTCTGAATTGCCCACAAACTAGAAGAAATCTTTTAATCCATCACTGACTGATGGTGTCTATTGTAAACATGCTGTCTTGGATTTATCTGTAACAGTTAATGGAAATCTTGGGAAATGTAAGTCCTTGTTAAGAAAAAAGGGTAGAATAGGAATTAGAGTGCTGAAGGTTAGTTTACAATAGCTTGTCATATAGGAAAGTGAGAATATTTTTCCCGAATATAAAGACATTTGAAAAGTAACTCATTAATATACTACAGATATTAGTTAATGTTTAATAAGTCAGCTGAGGTGTGCTGCTATGCTGCGTGACATTTCATAGCAACAGCTCTTGAAATATTTACTTATTTATTGTTGTCCTTTCATTAATAATGAACTACCCGAGATCCCATCTGCATTTCCCTTGTTAAAGAAAACATACTTGTGTGTAGATTTAAATGGGATGCATTTCCCTTTGTGAGATATACCAGAGATATTACTTCAGCTATTTTGATACAGAGCAGCTTACCCTCATCGCAGTGAAGATTATGATTTGCCTTTATGTTTCTTTAATGAAGATTTCACATGATCTATTTCATATGCTCCTTACTTTCTCTTTAATAATCCCAAAGAATGCATCAAAGGATAGCTGATAGGAAGCTGGCCTTGCTCTCCACGAGATGTGCTCTTTGCATAGCATGTGCCTGAGCCCATGCAGGAATGTGGCCTCCCACTTCTAATTATGGGTATTCAGGTACAAAGCATCAAAATATGAGCGGCCTAATTTAATATTGAAAAGGTTTGCAGTGTCTTTGAGGTGAAGCTGTTAAACATTGACATCTCAGAGCTTTTTAGTGCAAGGCTCTGAATCTCAGCTGTGTAGTTGACAAGTTAACAGCACATCAATTGGTGTAAATCAAATGAATACAGATGCAACGAAAGTAACATATCCAGCGCGTAGCACACATCCCAATTCTGTCCTCCTTGTCAAAGAGGAGGCAGCAGAACACCAGTGCTGCCCCACCGGATTCAGCATCTTCCTACTGTGAGGCGAGGGCACCATCTACGGGTGATACCGTTGTCCAGCCTGTCTGGACCTCCTTACTCATCTTCACTTCTTTTTATAGCATATGTTAGGAATATTACCCAGGAAGCATTGTGTGACAGTGAATGCATCAGCAGTATATTTCCTCTGGATAAGTTTTCCCTATGTTTGAGCAAACAGCTCCTTCAAAGCTTTGGCTGCATGATCAACATAAGGTCACCTTACCTAGAACCAGCAGAACACAGTTGCTGTCATCTGACATGTGCAGGGCACAGGGGGTATCTGTACTCACACTGTCCCAGCCCGGCAAGAGTGGTCCTTGCTTGCTGGCTCCAGCTGGGACAGGCATTCTCACTGGTGCTGGAAATTAACTGTTGACATTGAAATAAAAATCAAACGAGCTTTTGCCCTTCTGCTCCACAGGAGGTTTCTGGCCTCCCTAAGCTCACCTTGGAGAAGGAAGATTGGGTGCCAGGGGGAAGTTCTTTACAAAGAGAGTGGTGAGGTGCTGGAAGGGCTGCCCAGAGAGGCTATGGATGCTCCGTTCAAGGCCAGGTTGGAGGGGGCCCTGGGCAGCCTGGTCTCGTATTAAATGTGGAGGTTGGTGGCCCTGCCTGTGGCAGGGGAGTTGAAGATTCATGATCCTGGAGGTCTCTTCCAATCCTGGCGATTCTGTGATCGAGATGGGCCTCTCCAAGATGATGCTAGGCCTACTGTCTTCAGAAATACTATTTTGGGTCAAGTTACATTGAGGTTATGCAGAAACTCATACAACTGACCCATTCGGTAGCAGTGAAGAACAGTGGAGGTGTCCACAGACCTGGTACAAGTTACTCTTGTAATCTCTTGTACAACATTTACATGAAGAATCAGCATAAGCAGCGTTAGTGTGAAGGTGTAAGAGGCAGAGCCATCTCCCAAAAGAATAGCTCGTGTTTTCACGCCTTGTCCCACTTTGCAACCTCAGTGGTGTGTGCACATATCTGTGTATGTATACAGATATTCCCAGGTGGTCCTTGTGACTCTCGAGCTGAGGCTGCGTTTGATTCAAGACAGTCACTGCCGGAGGTTGCCGTTCTGAGCTTAACGTTATTGTACCGTTTGTTACAAGCTCGCACCCCGCCCGTACCCGCCGTTGCGCACACAGCCCCGAGACCCGGTTCTTCCCTGCCCAAGTACGCCCTTGCTCTTCTGGTCCATTCCTAGGGAGGGCGAGAGGCGGGACGAGCTGGTTAGATCGGCGCATGCGCCCCCCGCCATCTCCCCTCTTCGCATTGCGGAGCGCGTGCGCGGCAGCGCCTCCGGTGGCGGCGGCGGCGGCGGCAAGATGGCGGAGCCTGAGTAAGTGGCGAACTGCTGGGAGCGCGGATCTGCAGCCATCGGCCGGAGCGGGCGGCTGCGGGACCGGGCAGGGCGGCGGGGGGAGCGGCGGTGGGCGTGACAGGCGCTGAGCGTGACCGGCTTCTCTCACCCGCAGGCAGAAGCGGCGGATTCCGTTGGTGCCGGAGAACTTGCTGAAGAGGAGGAAGGCCTACCAGGCCATCAAGGCCACCCAGGCCAAGCAGGCGCTGCTCAACAAGCGCAAGGTGCGGGCCGCGGGGCCGGGAGGCGGCACTTTAACAGCCAGAGACCTGCGCTGTTCTGACAGCCGGCAACGGGGGCCTCTGTCGGAAATGGCGTAGGGCTTGCTGAGGGAATCTTCCTGTGGTGTTTGTGGGGCCACGTTGAAACCTCTTCCGTTCTTTGTTGGATACTGTGAGTGTGTTTGTAAGCGTGCGGATGGCTGCAGTGTTCCCCAGCTAGAAGGGGAAGCTTGAGAAATAATGCCCAGCAGTCACTTAAGGTTCTCCTTAGTAAAAATGACCTTAACTGTGGGAGTTCATCAAGTCTCTGCCTGCTTGGAAAATGCAACCTAATTCCACAGATGGTTTTCATCATGAAAGAGAACTGAAGATGTATAATGTATTCTTTAGTTTAAAAGTGGCTGACTATGGTAGCTAGTAATGTGTCTGATGTGTTACTGGGTAGCTGCTGTGTACCATCTCAGCTGAGAAGGCACTGTGAAATAGATGGGTGTACTTAATCCTGAACTGAGAACAAGCATGTGAACTTTTGAATTGGAAAGAAAAAAAAAAAACTTTCAATTTTCCCGTAATTCTGAAAAAAAAAAATTTCAAATGAACTGGGTGGTTCTGTATTTAAAATAGTAATTTTTTTTTTTTTTTTTTTTTTTTTTTTATGTGTATTTTTATGAAAAAGGAATTAAAACCAAGTTATTTTCTCTTAGGCAGTTATTTTCAGTTACGGTGGATTATTGGTGTCCCTATTTTATAATACATCTATTATTATCTATTTTATAATACATGTTGCTTCTGGCTTTCCCTGAGCTGACCAAGCCATGTGTGAGATGATGTGTTAGTTTGATTTCTTCTGTGCCTGGAATCATCTTGGGTCTTGCTCTGTGTCTTTCCTAATATATCTCCTTCCATGGAAAACCTCCTGTTCTCTGTTTGGACGTCACAGCTCACTGCTTAAAGTCTGCGACTTTGTGTGTTGTCCCTGAGCTCTGTCTCTTCCAGGCTTGGATTTTCAAATGTATTTTAGTACCGTCTCCAAAGATAACAGAGCATAGTGCGTGAAGTTCTGAATTTCATCTGACCTTTGAGATGCCCACTTCTGAGGTTGTTGAGGAGGTTGATCGTTCCTTATCCTTTTGTCTTTAGCTCCAGAAGGGGAAACAAATCCAGTTTAAACGCCTTGAGACTTTTGTTCGAGATTCATGGCGCAAACGCCGAGATGACGTCCGGCTGAGGCGCATGGAGCAGCGACCTGGGCAGGTGTCTGTACCTAAGGAGCACAGACTGGCCTTTGTTGTACGGATTACAGAGTAAGAGAGCTTGTTACTTCTTATTATTGCTATTGTCTGTAAATGTCACACCCCTTCTAAGCAAAGAAAGTGTGATGTAGCCACCTGTGTCTTTGCAGGTAAGCCGAGGACATTTGGTTCTGTGTTTAAGAAACGTGGTTAGTAATAGAATGTTTTTTTGTTTAAGGATTAAAGGAGTGAGCTTGAGAGTAAGAAGAGTGATTGAGTTGCTGCGGCTAAGAAAAATTTTCAGTGGAACATTCGTTAAATTGTCTCCATTATCGCTGAAGATGCTGCGGATTGTAGAACCTTATGTGGCTTGGGGGTAAGTACTGCATGAGTCTCTTGGTTTTGTAGAAAGGTATCGTGGCTTTCTGATTTGTAGCTAGCTTCTCCAGTAAGTGGTCAAAAATTCACTGACTTCACATCTACAACTTGTTATTGTTCATTTTCATCACTCTAAAGCTACCTTGGTTAGGTACCTTTCCAACTTTAATGCAAAGGAGCAGAGAAGAACTCCCCACTGCATCATGTCTCTCCACTATGCAGTCTGATTTCTTGTTTTTGTGCAGGTATCCTAACTTGAAATCTGTGCGAGAGCTCATCCTGAAACGGGGCCAAGGAAAGGTTAACAAGAAGAGAGTACCTCTGACGGACAATATGTTGATAGAGGAACACTTAGGTGAGGAATAAGATAAGAAAATGAAGAGAATTGGCAATTAAGGGAGGTGCTGAGTGCTGAGTTTGCAATCTGACCTTAAGAGAAGGGAGGGAGAAAAATTGTGCAAGACTAGTATATGGAGGATGGGTGGCTATTGGATAGTGTGAAGGAATAGTTGCACATCTCCTGTATGGGTGGTGGATGTGTGTGTGCTGTGTGTCGCGCATCTTGTTCATTTTACTTTGTGGTTATTTTTTCCTGCAGGCAACTTTGGTATTATTTGCCTGGAAGACCTTATTCATGAAATCTACTCAGTTGGGAGGTATTTCAGAAATGTCACAGACTTCTTGTGGCCGTTCCAGCTGTCAGTGGCCCGCCATGCTGCACATAATAAAGTGGGTTTCCTCAAGGAGATGGGTAAGCCTGGCTGCAGAGGTGAAGGAATCAACCAGCTTATACGTCAGCTGAACTAGACAGGTGAGGAATGTAACTGCTAAGTCCTTATTGTTTATCTGGCTTCCTAAGAATAACTGTACTGCCATCAAAGATGAGTTTACAATACAACAGTGACCCTCACAGTCACAGAGAAAACTAGAGAAGATCCTGGGTTGCATTAGCTATCAGTCCTAGTGGACTATTCCATAAAGGCTTGATTGCTGGGAGATTGTGTTCAATGACTGGTGATTTTTTTTTTTTTTTCTTTTCCTTTTCTGTTCTGCAGTCTGCGAAAATACTGTGATTTATAACCTGCTCTTTCACATGTAATTTTCATCGACCTGGGCTCTCTACAATGATATGCTACATCTCTTGACTGTTGCTACCTTCACCATCAAAATCCAGGTGACAAAAGCTGCACTCCAGGCTGGTCCTTGAGAAAGAAATTGTATTTGGTGCAAAAAAAAGAAATGACTTGAACTTTCTGGAGCAATCTGACTTTTTTAAAGTGTTGCAATTTTTTTTACTTTGTCTTCAATATTTTTTACTGTTGGCGCTGTACCAGTCAGCTCTTTATCTCACCGTTGGTATAAACCATGCATTGTCATTTCCTGATCTGAATTTGTTGCAAGGGAACAGCAACCATTGGTTTGATCCAGTCCTCCCCAAGGGAAGTGCTTGAAATTGCACTTGCTGTTGAAGTGCACCTACTTTTGGTGTAAATGGGCAGTGCAGTCAGCTGCTTAAGAACATCGCTGACAGGCAGAGGAAAGCACTAGGCTTATTCTTCTGTTACTGCAGCTAGATTGTATTTATTTGTGATTTGTCTTACTGATTTACACAATGCCTTCTAACCGTACTAAAGTGAGACTGCTGTGGGGATGAATATTTCTTGATAGGAAAACCCATTATTCACACTTTACAGCAGTATTACAAAATTAATAGTTTCAAAATAAACTCTTTTGAAATGGTAGTATTGTACCACTCATGATTTGACTGATATGTAAGTGCTTAAGTACTAACTCGGATGTGACTATGGGGAGTGTTGAAAGCAGTGTATGGAATTGAATTTTTTTCTTTTATGGAGCTTCTTCAACTGGGCTATTGTCTGATACTAATTTAGAAGGCAACGCTGTGCTTAATCGTTAATCATTATGAGGAGTTGGGGCTCTTAATCCTGGAGAAAAGAAGGCTCCAGGAGGGACCTGATAGCAGCCTTCCAGTACCTGAAGGGGGGCTGCAGGGAAGATGAGGAGTTACATTTTTTAAGGGCATGTAGTGACAGGATAAGAGGAAATGGCTTTAAACTGGAAGGGGGTAGTATTAAACTAGATAGTGGGAAGAAATTCTTCACTTCAAGGCTGGTGAGACACTGGAACAGGTTGCCCAGTGAGGTTGTGAATCCCCCTCCCTGGAAGGGAGCCAGGCCAGCCTGGATGGGACTTTGAGCAACCTGCTCTAGAGGGAGGTATGTCTAGCAGGGGTTGGAACTAGGTGATCTTATAGAACCCTTCCAGCCCAAACCAGTCTGTGAATGATAAAGTCATCATTAATGATTGAGTCTCCCACAAACAGTATTAGGCACAAGCAGGGACAAACTACAGTTAATGAATATAGTTTCATGGATTTCATATTGACTAAAGCATTTGATTTGTGACTGAGGAAACAGATAAGGTAATTACTGGGATCTGAGCTTCTTTTCTGTTTTTGGAAGCAGGTATACCTTTTATAACCACTAAAGAGTACTTATGGCAGTAGTCTGAACTGCTGGTATATAGAGTTCTAAGATCTAAAATACAATTTCCCACATTCTCTGACTGGGAGAACACTATACAGTTTCAAGTTTTATTCCATAAAATAAGAATACAGACATAGAAAACGCTGGGCAGGTGCTGAAGAAGGACAAGACATGCACTGATGCAGGACAGCATCTCTCCAGAACTGCAGTCTGGTGTTCTTTGAAATACTATGTATCATCTGAGCCTTTTCCTGATCATCAGCTGCTTTCATGGTAAGACCTTGAGAATTAGTCTTGGGATTAGGGATGGATTAATTCTATTATCAAAACCCAGACCTTGCATGAAGAACAGGCATAATACTGTCATGAACGCCTCAGTTAGAGCTCTTCAAACAGTGCCAGCTTAACCTAGTGTTATACCACATTATCAGGCACATGCTGTACCATACTTCAGCAAGAGCAATTGTGTGTTCACAACATAGCTGCACTATGAACAGAAACTATACAAGAGGGCAGGATATGTACAAGAAACGGTTTTAGGGAAAAGAATCCTTTTTGTAAGCCACCATACTGTTTACTTTGTGGATCGTGGTAGTGAAGGAACGAAGGCGAACCTCTTCTGAATTGGCAATGAATTGTGGTCCTGACTCTTCCCACTTTTCTGGCACTACCAAGTCTTTATCTGTGTAAATCAGCAAGTCGAAGGCACCTGTAAGCAAGTGGGAAAAAGTTAGCAGTACACATATATGAGTGATGCTATAATTGAAGATAAAATGCATGGAGACATGCACCAAGGTTATCAGAAGTTACACTGATACTAGCTACAGAAATGGCAGTTAAAGAATGAAAACAAGTACAAGTTTACATTCCTGTAGTCACAGTATTTATGAAAACTGTAGTTCCTCAGACACGCTAAGTTTCGTCAAGCTAGGTAACTCACCTTGAATTGCACCTTTTGGGGAAAAAACAGGTATTTTGGGGGGACATCACCACTAGTACCTTCAAATGCTTGAATGAGAGAGCTACAGCACAGTGTTTATGTTAGCACTTCTTTTCAGTTTGTTGTACAGGAATCAGTTCAGAATGATCCTTAGAATACTTTATCTGATGCTGTTTCTGTACATAACTGAGACTGTCTTGGTCTAACTAAACATGAAAGACTCAGAAATGCAATACATGACAAGTAATAACAAAAACACAAAATAGTGGAAAAGACTTTCTACAACAGAATGCTAGTTCAGGCTTTCTGAAAGGTGTGATTTCTTTCAGAGAAATTATGAATACTCACAGGCAGTTTCCAGGAGAGGCAGAAAAGTTACTGTGGCAGTGATTTGTCTGATAACTGATCGAATTTCATCCTGAATGGCTTTCTGAGATTTTTCTCGGGGTGCACTGGAAAAATGGGAAAACTGTTAAAACAACTTATACCTACTGTGTGACAGCTTTCTTTAAACACTGTTCTGCTGCACTTCTGTGGGGTCTGTTTGCTGTATGGTTACGCAGAATAGAGGCATTCTTTTAAGCCTTAGGTAAATGGGCTTAGAAAACTGTCAGTTTCACTTGTTGCTTGTGAAATCTCACAGTGTTTTTAAGAACATATTCTCTGTCTGGAATGGATACGAGTTTTGGCAGAAGAGCAGTAATACAGGACTTTGTTTAGTTGCAGATTACAAAACATTTTAATAATTGAATCACGGAATCATTTGAGGTGGAAGGGACCTTTAAAGGTTATGTAGTCCAGCTCTCCAGCAATAAACAGAGACACCTACAGCTCCTTAAGGTTGCTCAGAGCTCTGCTCAGCCTGACCGTAAGTGGCTCCAAGGATGGGGCATCCACAACCTCTCTGGACATCCTGTGTCACTGCCTTGCCAATTTTATTTAAAAAAAAAAAAAAAAAAAAGTACTTCTCCCAGATTGTACTGATACCAGGGTTTGCTCTCACCCAAGTACAGGGCCTTGCTCTGATGAATCTATGAATCTTGGGTTCACCTGGGCCCAATGCTCAGCCTGTTTAGGTCCCCCTGGATAGCATCCTGTCCCTTGGGCACACCAATGGCACCCGCAGCTTTATTTGGTAAAGTCTGACAGCTTTTAGTGAGAAAGAGCAGCCTTAGCTGCAGTGAGGTAACAGAGCAGCGCTACCACATGTGGTCTTTCCTTTGTAGGGAGAAGCAGGCTCAGTAATGCTGTCACTCACCTCTCACCCTTGGCGTTCTTGTCACATTCAATGTCGAACTGCCACCGCTCCAGCACCTCGTTGTTCTCTATGCTGGAGATGACCACCACCAGGCGTTGCACGGTGCACTTGTAGAGCCACTCTGGAAGAGGCCACAGCATTTACTACAGGCCGTGGGGGGGGGGGGGGGAGGGGGGGGAGGGATACGGAAAGGAGGAACACCTTTCATCTGTTCCACCACGTTGTTGAGGTAGTTCTTCAGCTCGGGGTCGGTGGTGACGAGCAGGGTAAGCCCGTACTTCTGGACGCGGGTGAAGGTCTCGGGGGGGTAAATGCCCCGCTGGTACAGGATGCTGTTGATGCCATAGGCTGCGTGCACAAAGCGGGGAGGCGTGCGTGAGGGGGGGCCGCCTGTCCCGCCCCACCGGCGGCCATGTAGGCCGCAGGAGAGGAGCCGGCGGCCCGTCTGCCCTCTTCTCCCCCCGCCCCCGTCTCCCCGCGCCCCTAGACGGCCCGCAGACCCTTACAGAAGAACTCGGCGACGATCTCGGCGCTGCCCCGCAGGGTGATGCCCTGCTGCTCGCGGCTGAGCTGCGCTGCCATAGAGGTGCCCGCCCGCCGCCCGCTTCAAATAGCGCCCCGCCCCTTCCGGCCGTCTGGACGCGCTGCCGCGCAGGCGCACCGCGAGGCCGCGGCTCTGCTCGCTCGCCCGAGCACGCGGGGAGATGAGCTGCTGTGCTGCGCGTGCGCGTGGTGCGGCCGTTACAGCGGGCGGGGGTGGGGTGGCCGCGTGCGCGCCTCAGGTGCTTTTCGGTGCGCGCGACCTTGTGGAAGCGCTTTTGCGCGTGGGAAGGGCGCGTTCCTGGTGCGAACAGACTGAAGTACTGCTGTGGGCGATCTCTGGTGGTGCTCAGTACGAAAGGCGCCCCGCTCAGCTTTTAGAAGTTGGATTGCCGTTAATGCCCGCTGTTCTGCTTCAGCCCCTGCCGTCCCCCTGTCCCAATAGGGTCTCGGAGCCCTCCCTTCCTTTGCCCCACTGGGCTTTTCTCGTGCTTTGCATCCTCTGAGGTTCCAGGCGGGCGCGGCGGCTCGCGGTTCAGCTGCCGCCTGCGCTGCGCCGTTGGTGTTAGAGCCGGGTGAAAGGCAAAGCCCAGCGCTCACCGAAGCGAAGTTCACCTCCTCTCCGCTCTGGTGGGTTCGTTAAGGGTCTCCCGCTGCAGTTAGCTGATCTCTGTTTCCAAAAATGGGTTCCTCTGTGTTTTGGCAGAGGTGGATGAGGGGGAGTTGTTGATGTGACCGTGCAGATATACTTAATTACTGACTACAAGTTTAATTGCGTCTCTCTTCACTGCCAAAAAACACCCTTTGCGTTTTGCAATTCTGTTCTTTCTGTCTCTCTAGGGAAATACATTTCCCTTTTACACTGTGTCACTATTTCTCTTTTAATTCCTTATGTTTCCTGTAAATGTAATCTAATGGTAAGAATGCACATTTCTTATTCTTTTGAACTTTGCAATACAAAGCTCCTGAGGTTTCGCTTTGCTTTTCAGCATATATTTTTTTTTATGACCAATTCATTAATTTTAAGCAGTTTGATCTTTTTAGTCTATAAGACGTTCATCTTTCTTAAACTTTACAGTTTCCTTTTTACTAGAAGGTCCTTCACCTTCACTGCTCTTTTTCTTAATCCTCATATAAGCAAGTGTTCCCGTCCTCTGCCAGTAACTCTCCTCTATGAAGGCCTAGATATCTGACAATAAGTGTGGTGTTTTTCTTTTTGCATTCTCTAATTATCTTGTCTTTGTTTCTCTGTTACAGATCCTGAGCTCCATGGTACCTGATTTAAACTGTCATCACTTCGTTGAGGTCAGTGTCGCTCACCTTTTCTGCCAGGTCAAGCCCAAATCCCCCAGCAGGCAGCGAGGGGATGAGTGCAACTCTGTCATGTATCCAGGTCTGTGGTAATCGCTTGACCGTGCTGTGCTCTAATGGAGCCACCAAGCTGTGATGGGGACATATGTACTTAAGTCCTTTAGTTGTGTTACTCAACAGGCCTGCTCTGTGTGCTGCTGATGCCTGTAGTTCACATTTAGGGCATGTCCAGCTGCGTGACAAGCAGGAGGCTGTGGGGCTCTTATGGAGAGCGGCACGGATACTGCCGTGGGTTAGGGAATTTGTGTGTCTGACAGCCTGCTTCCTGGCCAACTCACAGGGACTCAGGAATGAAGATGACAGAATGAGTTATACATTCTGGCACATCATGAGTTGGCTATCCCTGGTTTAATTATTTCATGCTAAAGCCTTAATTTTCGTAAGGAATGTGAAATCCCAGTTGCATTTAATTTGGTTTTCTTATGATTCTTTAGTCATTGCTCTATTTCTCAGTTACATTTCGAAGTTATGACAGATTTTTTTTTCTTTTTTAAATTCTCTTTTTGTGGAAGGAAATGTCCCCTATTTATCTTGGCTTTTCTGCAACATTTAATGATTGCTTCCCTATGGCAATTGTTAATGAACCTGTGACAATCCAGATTATTGCTGCTCCTTCAAGTTTTTTAAGGCAACTCTAGTCACGCTCCTGTAGTCATTCATCAGAAAGAAGAAATAATCCATGTGTAGAGTTCATTCCCAAGTTTGGGGCTATTTTTTTTTGTTTGTTCAGTTTTTTAGCCATAAGGGCGATGTGGACAGGTCTCTCTTGCCAGTATAATAGAACAGTCTGTAAAATAGAAGTTTGGTTTGTTACAAAAGCCCTCTTGTCACATCAACAAATTGTCACATTAAGTCTCAGTAAAATCCAGTTCTTCCTGTGCAAAGAAAGGAAATCTTACCCTGGGTAACAGAACCTTACTTCTTCTGTTCTGGTAGATCTCAAGCTCTTCTGAGTAATTTCCTTTTGCACTATAGGGGGAGCTTCTCTACTTACTAGCCCTTAGAAAGAGCTGGTACTTTCACCTCTGTCTCTTATTTTCTGTGCATTGTTTTGAGTCTCTTTTGGGGGTTTATAATGCTGCACATCTGAAGTTGTCTGTGCCTTATACTGATGGTGAGTATTGAGCTTGTTCTTGTTTTGCAGGTTAGACTTTTTGTTGCCTTTCTCCCTCTGTCCGTCTTCTGGTATTTGTAGATCCCGTGTTGGATACTGTCTTACCTCCTGGTGGGCTGAAGCCCTTCTCAATTGGCTGAACTTCTGTGGTTTCTAGTGAAACTTTTCTATTACAACTGTTTAGTTCTCTGTGCTATGGGAAGGAGCGACGTATGGGTTGTTCTGGGCTAAAGCTTTTCCTGAACATACTAGCCCAGCCAAATACCGTCTCTGCTTTGTTATGCAAGTGTTATTTTCAAAACTTTTAAATTTCAGATCACAGTGTGGGAGCATTTTCCTGTCTTCTATTGCATCTTCACGGCTTTCAGACAGGATTCCTTTGATTTATTATTGTCTGGAACTAACTTTAGAATTAATGTAAAATATTTTTACATACATACTTTTTAAAATCAGGTTTTCCATTACCAAGATCAGTTTGTATAATTTTTGTTGCTAGTCAAGTTTGTTTTCAGCAGCCTTTGTAGCACTGAACTTGAATAAGGTACCTGTGCTAGCTGTCAATATGACTTCTTAACATGTTGGCCAGTGCTCTGTTTTACAAAGTAAACCATGGGATATTATTATGGGTAGCCATGCTGCTTTCTTTCATCAACAGCCGGTAAAGTGCAACTGGGAAAGAATGTTTTGAATCTTAAATATCCATTAAAAAGGAATTGTCTTTAAAAACAAGTCAGTGCAGGCTAATTAACTGTATTAAGACTTGTATTATGATGAATAAGCTTCCTCCAAAAGATTCACTTGGGGAACATGGTGTAAAACTCTTTAAAATAACTTGTCTTTTTACCTATTATCAGTGATTCTGAACTTATTTTGAAATTAAAAATATTTGGATAAGTCCTTATTTATTGTAGAAAAATGAGACAAAGAAACCTGGTTTCCCTTACTTAAGCCAATGTGAAGATGTCATTTGGCTTGAATGTAGCTATGCCCTGATAGTGAAATAGCTTTTGTGAATTTTGAGAGTTTAAAAAGCTACTACTGTGAAACAACGTTCAGTGATTCTTCTGATAGTTTTATCCCTAAGCTACCAGGAGATGGCACCAAGCACATGAGTTATTTGCATCCTTTCAGTTTAGTCCTGAATTGCAGCTTCATTTTACTGAGTACTTGAGTTTAGACGAATTTTAGATGCACTTCTTTGCCAGTTTTTAAAACGTGTTCCAGAATGAAGGAGATAATTGACCTGAAATCAGAAAATAAAGATATTGGTGATAGAAATCAAATTGGTAAGATTTTTTTTTAAAGTCTGTATGCTTATTTTCCAGCCTGCATCCTGAAAGTTGTAGGTTAATTTTCATCCTCTGACCTAAACATTTTTGATTATAGAGGCTGCTTTTCTAAGAGATGTAAAAAGTGCATACATTGAAGTCTTTTTGCCTGTGCATGGGTATTTCCCTTTCTAATATGGTTTACCATCTGGTGCATCTGGCACATTTAATGCATAGTGAGAGCTTCTTCCACAATGTATCAGGTTTTCTTTTGAACGCCAAGATCTGGGACATATGTGTAGATCACTGACAAGCCTTTGAGAAGCCAGGAGGAACATTAATATATTGTGGGTATAGTTTTAAATGTATGTAAGTATTCTTTATAAACACAAACACTTGTATTTTTGATAAGACTTTTTTCATTGACTGTGGTGAAAAATCAAGCATATTCATAGCACAGTGAAAGTTTCATCTCACAGTAAAGCATTTTGTGAAGGTGCACCTACATTGATTATATCAGCATGTCTATAGAATCGTGCATATTTATTCAGCAGTTAACATGGGGCCTTTATGCATGTCATTTCTTTCTAATTTAGTTTCTATAATTTATGGAACATGAAGTGTATACATAAGCTGTCACTTTTGTTTACATAATAATTCTTTCAACACTTCTCTGCTTTTGAGCAGATTTCTACCATCATGTAGGTGGCACTTCTTGTATTTGAAATGATAACAGGTTCACAGTACCAAAACATCTTTGAAAGAAGCTCCTTATCTAACACTGGATGAAAAATACCCTGTTTTAATTTACCTTTTGTTGTTGTTATGCTAAAGTCAACTTAACTGATGAACAATTCCTTTGAAAGGTTTTGAGTGAAGACAGGAATCCTGTTACAAAATCAGTAAAAGCAGAACTTGAATGAGTTTTTCATGCCTTGAAAACTTTGTAGCACTCAGTGATGTCAGGGTGTAGTGGTAACAGGTGATGTGAAACCCACTGAATCCAGCTCTGACTAAATCCCCAATGAAATACCTGAAGACTAATGATTGGAAAGATGCATGTTAACGCAGTTGCTGTCATATCTGAAGTTCTCATGCTAATAAACTAATGGAAAACGATACAGTTCTCAGATAGTTTAGACTTACTAAGAGATATACCACAGTTTAAATTAAGAACAGGTCTTTTCTAAGGAACAGCTGAACAGACACATCAGCATAGAATTAGACTGTCATTGTGACATCAGGTACTGAGGTGCAAAAGAATACTGTAGATAGGCTAGCAGGGCAAATATACCTTGATAGTATCAGAAGGGCTTTTAATAGGGTACTCTCACACAATTACAGTGTCTTTGGTAATTGTTTATTGCGCTTGCTTTTTGTTGTGTCTTTTCTGATACATAACCCTCACTGCAAGAAAGATATTGAGGCCCTGGAACGTGTTCAAAGGAGGGCAACAAAGCTGGTGAGGGGTCTGGAACACAGGCCATATGAGGAGAGGCTGAAGGAGCTGGGAATGTTCAGCCTGGAGAAGAGGAGGCTCGGGGGAGACCTCATTGCTCTCTATAACTTCCTGAAGGGAGGCTGTAGTGAGCTGGGGGTCGGCCTCTTCTCTCATGTCATTAGTGATAGGACCAGGGGGAATGGCTTCAAGATATGGCAGGGGAGATTCAGACTGGACATGAGGAAGTATTACTTCTCAGAAAGGGTGGTCAGGCACTGGAACGGACTGCCCAGGGAGGTGGTGGAGTCACCGACCCTGGGGGGGTTCAAGGAAAGGCTGGATGTTGTGTTGAGGGACATGGTTTAGTAGGAGCTATTGGGAATAGGTGAACGGTTGGACTGGGTGATCTTTTAGGTCTTTTCCAACCTTGGTGATTCTGCGATTCTATGATTCTAACCAAGGTGGACTTGTTCGAGTAATTGTGTCGTGAGATCTGCCTCAGAATTATGATGTCTAAAGAAACAAATAAATTGTGTTTGCATTAGAAATATTTGAAGCAAAAAAAACCCAAAAACCCTGTGAATCATTCCTTCATTTCCTCTTGAAAAGTGGAGTCTTTTTGCATTTTTTTCTTCATTTAGATCTCTATGCAAGTTAGATATCTCATTGTCAGAATGATGATTGTTTCTGAAAACAGGCACGCAGAATTTTCTTGTAATTGCTGAACAGCTTAAGAAAACAGGATTTTCTAAATAAGATATCTGTTCTGTATGGAAGAAAGAATGCTTTAGCAAATGTAATAGGATTTGCTGGAACTATACATTGAGTCTCTCCATCTCAGCAACTGTTCTCATTTCAGTTTGCTGCCTTGGAACGTCTAATCCAGTAGTGGGGAGACAATTGCCTGGTCTATGAACTTTCTGTTACATTTCCATTACAGCTCATCTGCTTAATTAATTAATAGCAGAAGAACCATGAACTGTTTGTGAATGAGATGGATTGTTGAAAACACCTTTATCTAGGCAATACTTGTATACTTTCATTAATAGCTTAAAAGTAACTAAAGATGGCTTTGCATGAGAACATTAATGAGCTAGATATGGGCCATATC